CTAGCCTTTTTGTCGAGAAATTCTTAATCTCGTGGCGTCGTTTCAACCCGTATCCTCGAGATTTGAAAGTTTTGCTTTTTTGTAATAGTTTTAACTTCTTAATGCAAATATTCTAGTTCCTAGTTCAGTTCTCCGTAATTTCTGTTCTGCTAGGATATTGAACGGTCATCAACTTGATCCCGTGCTGTCAACTGATTGGACATCACGCTGAATTGAAGGATCGTCCTTAAAACAGGATAACTCATCGGAAGATTTTTTTTAGAATATCGTGGTGGGACGTAAAAGATGAAGACTTTTAATAGATGGTTAAGAGGTTGAAAGGGGTGATGGTAGTCAAGCCATGTGGCACGACAAATGACCGAATTCGAGTGATACACAGTGCGGAATTGACAACTCCAAATCCGATCAACAGGGACAAAGTGTTGGTGTGGAAGCTTCTTGCAACACTGAGCGCTACAATGAAATATAGAGTAGACTTATCTAGTATACAGTCATCGGCTAACAACATATGAAATTGAAGTTATTATGCAGTGTTACGTAAGTTGGCTTTTAAGTGCCAAGACAAAATCCATCATCGTTGTGCCAGTTTGTGCATGCAATTTCTAGATTATTACTTACAAAGTGCCGATTGATAGAGATTTTCAAACAAAATGCCAAATATATGTACTCTTGTGGTGCCTCAGGCCTTCCCTCGACCGTGGAACCGGCAAATAGTTTGGTTACACGAGTGATTTAAAAAATGTTATAGATTTGGTTATATTAATGTGTGTTGCAAGGGGTCAGTGTCTTCAACGCCATTCATACGCAGATACTAGTAAAGTAGACATCTACATAGACCCATGCATGGTGCAATGAATAATACATAGTACGTGATGTAACCATTAATTCAGAAAGCAAACCGTGGGTTGGCGCAGCGTCTCTGATCAGGCATCTTGATTCGATTCACGTTTGTAAAAAAGATGACTCATCACATCTGTGCGGGCATTCCCTGCTTCTACATTCCAAAAAAGAGATCGGCATGCGGGCACAAGGGCCGGAGATTCAGCTTACCGGCGTAACCTAAGAAAAACATCCATTAGGTGCAGAATCTGTGTACTTAACCTAATACCAACCTACACTTTGCCCCAATTTTTACTGCAAACCCCTAACGTTCTCAAGTACTTAGCTAATTTTCTCTGTTAACTCCATTTGAACTCGCACACTAGAAGATATTTCGTTTGCTGGCTGCGCTAAACTGCAGTGCTGACCAATCTCATGTCTTCCCCACCCTCAGATTCACCCATCATCACCATCTCTGACCTCGAGAATCTGATTGATACCTATCCGCTCATCGACAACCATGCTCATCCTCTACTCAAGGACCTTGAACCCCACGCAGATGAGTACCAACTCGAATCAATCACCTCCGAGGCACATGGGTCATCCTTACAAGACACTAAGCACTCGCTTTCACACCGTCGTGCGGTGAGACAACTAGCAAAGCTTTACGACTGCGAACCCACATGGGACGCAGTTAAGGCGACACGCCAGAAACGGGATGTTTCCTCCTTGGCAGCCGATTGCTTCGCCGGTATTCAATGCATACTTTTCGATGACGGACTAGACAAGAGAATGGTCCTTGGCTACCGCGAGCATGATCAATTCACGTTTTCGCCCAACAGGCGGATCGTCAGAATAGAAAAAGTTGCCGAAGAGGTATTAGAGAAAATGATGTTAGGCGTCTTCCTTGCTTCCATGCAGGAAGAAATTATTACTGAGCACTGGACAGAGTGGAGCACGGGTTTTATGGACGCCATCACAAAAGCTATCAATGATCGGGAAGTTGTGGGGTTCAAGAGTGTTATTTGTTATAGAACAGGCCTTGAGATTGAAACTCGAGAAGACTTACCCACCTCGGCGTGTGCCCTTGAGCTTAATCACTGGATTGAGGAAGTTCTTTCTTCGTGCAGTTTCCGGCTTCAGTCTAAAGTTCTCAACGATTGGGTGGTAAACACTGTGTGCAAAGCACTCAAAGGCAAAAATATACCATTGCAATTTCACACTGGTCTTGGTGATAACGACATTAACTTGCTCAAATCAAATCCTGCGTATGAATTTGTCTATCAGTAGATTCTTGAGCAACTTTTGTGCTAACCACATTCCTAGATGCATGCAAGAATTCATCAAAAAATACCCTGATATTCAATTTGTGCTTCTTCACGCGGCTTATCCGTACACTAGAGAGGCCGGGTATCTGGCTGCCGTATATAAGAATGTTTATCTCGACTTTGGGGAAGTGTTTCCCGTGGTTTCAAAAGACGGTCAGAAGTCTGTGATTAAACAGATGCTCGAGTTAACTCCTGCTAATAAGCTACTTTGGAGCACCGATGGACATTGGTTCCCAGAAACATTTGCATTAGCAAACATACAGATGCGTGAGATTATACGTGAAGTGTGTGGCCTTGTAGTTAATAAACACATGTTTCGATCGCAGTTTGCTAACGATGTAACAGGTATTGGTTAAGCGAGTGAAGACTCAAGTACTCACACTTGACGAGGCGGCATATATAGTCAAGATGATATTCTTTGAAAACTCAAACAACCTTTATCGTCTTAAATTGAAACCAAACCTGGCGATCTTTAGCAAAAGCAGAACTGCAAAAAGGCTTCCTCTAGATGAAAATTCAGCTTCAGAATTAGGATACGAAGTCCCGTCTGTTCGACATGAAATCACTACCGACTCTGGCGAGGGGGCTATACTGGAAGAATTTTTACAGAAGAATCCAGACATAGAGTACATTCGGATACAATGGGTAGATTATGCAGCATCCGTCCGTCTGCGTGTGCTTCCGCTGGCTGTTGTTTTGGCAAAGATCAAAAACAATAATTGGGATTTCAGCATTCCAAAGGCTGGACTTGACCTTCTACAAGATGACACTCCTCTACCAAATTTGCAGATAGAAGGAAAGTACCGCTTGGTTCCACAGTGGAATTCTCTTCGTAACTGCACATATGCGAACAGACATGCCGCGGTTATGTGTGAAATCCGTTCCGCCGATCACACGCGGATAGATATCTGCCCCCGTACATCGCTTATTGAGGCGCTCGAAAAGGCAAACAAGCATGATATTGATTTCCTAGTGGGGTTTGAGACAGAGGTGGTATTTCTAGGAGAAGTATCAAACCGTCTCATCAACTTTGACAAAGCTCATTCCTGGTCAGCTGCGTCGGCACTGACCCCCAAGTACCAAGCAGTGATGGATGAGATTGTCAAAGCACTCCTGGAGGACGGCATTGAGGTCATTATGTACCACCCTGAATCAGCGGACGGCCAGTTTGAAGTTGTCACAGGACCACTTTCTCCGCTAGCTGCGGTAGATGCATTATATCACACCCGCCAGACAATTTGGAATATTGCATCAAAACACCATTTTCATGCCACTTTCCATCCTAAGCCATATGCAAACCAAATCGGCACCGCTGCCCACACCCATATATCGCTTGGCAAAGGCAAGGCGTACCAATCCGAATTTATAGCAGGTATAATCAGACATCTACAGGCGATATGTGCCTTTGGGCTACCGTCATTTGCCAGTTACGAGCGTTCTATTGACAACTGTTGGAGCGGCGGTACCTGGGTTTGCTGGGGCGACGAGAACCGCGAAACACCGTTGCGTCGAATAAGCGAGGCCGATGCCCACTGGGAAATTCGCTGCATTGACGCCACTGCCAATATGTACCTTTTTATCTCGGCAGTGATCAACGCTGGGATACTAGGAGTGAGACAGTCACTCAAGCTTCCACCTGTTTGCCCGGGTTTGTCTCTAAACCTTTATGTTGTACAATCATGCTAATTAAATATTCAGTGAACCCCGCTGAGGCTTCACTGGAGATTAGGGAGGAACTTGGCATCACTAGGTCGTTACCAGGCACTCTAGGCAAAGCTATAAACTTTCTGCAGCAGGATAAGGAACTAGTAGATGCACTTGGTGCGTCCTTGTGTGAGAAGCATTGTGTTACAAAGAAAGCCGAGATTAATAAGATGGAAAATATGGATAAGACTGAGGCTGACCGTCACAGTTGGGAACTATGGCACTATTAGAGAAGCTCACCTGTACATATTGATATCGGTAGCTGATTATCAAGTGAGGGGCATAATGGATTGTAATTTGCTAATAAAGCCCCACGTTTCGTCATAATCCAGACTCCTCATACATGGTACGGCCGTAATCAAGACATATTCGACTCCGTGGCGCAACGGTAGCGCGTTCGATTCCAGATCGAAAGGCTGCGTGTTCAAATCACGTCGGGGTCATATTCCTTTTTGTGCGTTCGGATTGGGCTTTTTTATGCTGAAAGGCCTCTATTTCTTTTGGCGTATCGAGTAAGGTTTGTGAGAACATGTACATATGGTATCACTCGATTATAGTTCTTGGCATTGAGGTATGTAAGCTTGGTGTGCACAACGAGTATAAGTATAGAATCTCAGCAGTGTATCAGAGTGTAATCAACATCCGTCTTGGATACTGATAGTTTTGAGAATTTTGACTACACAAATGGTCACTCAGCACGTCGCAGTACGCCCACGCTTTTTCTAGTGGTATGTGACGCACGTTTCAAATCCTATCTTGATATGTGACGCGAGTGAACATTGGAGATTTAACGATTACCCGGCATTCCAAGAGACCACTAGTTGATTTATATTGGCGTTTGAAAGTGTGCCTACTTTTGTCTATTCTTAGGTACGAATGAATGCCCCGTCGGGACTTCATACATCGGTATATTAATTCCATAATATATACATCGTAGTTTCAAACATTGAACAAAACTCTATCATCTTGCTCTTTCCTGCTTATCCTCCCTTTCCAAACCCCTCCATTCCGCTACCTAGCTCATCCAATCACTCGCACCCCCGCCACACCACCACAAAAACGTCGCGCCACACCTTGCCCCGCCCTACATGACACCAATCACGAAGCTTCAACTCCATAAACGCAAAAAGCGAAACCAGAAGGTCTGACCGACCACGACGCGACTCGAACGCGCAATCTTTGGTGCCGAAAACCAACGCCCTACCATTGGGCCACGCGGCCTGGTTATGCAAAAACAACAGACATGGCGTTTATATAGAAACGGAGGAAAGCAGTGAACGTGGGTTGGATTGGGGAATCGTGGGTCAGGCGAAGGATGAGAGGATAAGGGTTTCCTTAGAGAATAACACGAAGGAGGATGGGGGCGAAGGTGCAAGCAAGAAGGAACTGATCGATGATAAGTAAATACTTTCGGTGTCAACGCTAATTAAAACTCCAAAGCATGTATCACGGAGGGAGCTTTGGCAGATACAAGTACCCTAATCATGAAATTACACAACTCCGTTCCAGTCTACTTCCTTCTCTCTTATGTACCATCTCCCCATCTTCATCCTAGTGCCTTCACATCTGTCCCAGTCTACCAGATATCATCCTTGACTACCAACTTGTCCGTCCCCTTCTGCTTCCGCTGCCTCGAACGTCCCCTTGTCAGACTCTCGCTCCTTCTAATAATCACCGGTAACGGGTGTGAATCATCCCACGTGGTCGGCTTTTCCTCCTGCTCCTCCCTGTCTCGTTCCATCACCTCTCCTAATGTTGAGACTGAGGTTGGACGTTCGCTCCCACCGGATTTGCGCGGCGGCGGCGCGGGGGCCATGAGTACGGGACGGGAGGTGGTGTATTCACTGATGGAGACGTCTTCGCGGCCACGCATGGAGCCGGGGATTATGCGTGGGGCGGGCGGTGGGCCGAGAATGAAGGGGGTAGGGGCGGTGGCGGTGGAGGGGCCAGGAGTGCTGTTGCTGGGGCCTTTTATGGATACGATGTGTGGTGGTGGGTTCCGTTCTCGTGCTTTGTGGGTGGAGCGGAGACTCTGGCGTTCCACAGATTGTATGATGGGTACAGGGGGGCCTGGGTATGATGATAAGGGGACACTTTGTTGGGTGACTGCCGAGGTCGGTGAAGGGGAGCGTGATGGACCTGGGAGTGGTGGTAACGTCTTTATAAGGGGATGTGTATGGAATGGTATTGGCGGCGGTGGAGATGTGGCAGTTGTCCTTGGAATTGATGACAGGGACTCGAGTTGTTTGTCACTACTTGGACTGCCCATAGTAGAGGACGGCGGCGTAGAGATAGAGGTTGTAGGAGAACTCCAAGAGATTTCACTCAAGGACGGTGAAGAAAACTGGCTTGACATATTTTATGTTGAATCTGGATTGTTGGGCTATTGTAAAATTTGCCGTTTTCCGGAAGGAATGTAGTGCATATGAATATTATAGTATTTAACGAAGGGCCGTGTGATCTAACCGCAGCAAGGGGCCGAGAAGTTCGCTGTACTTAAGCCGGATGATACTGTTGAGGGAATTAGATCCTTTGTTGGTCGATTACTGGTAGACGGGCGATGACGGGCGATACAGCTGCGCCTGATACTGGAAAATTTGCTATTATTTCTGAGACAAAACTGAACCAAATCAGTGAGTAGGAGTCTCCTACGTGAGTCAAGGCCGTAGGCTATATTATATAGGGTTCAGAACAAAGCCAAGACCAATTTGCCGGTCTCTGCCACACCTGTACTTTTCGTCGATTTCGGTCTACCGATCTAGATATTTCCGATATTTGATTTTTCTCACCGCTCTGACAGAATAAAAAGCATTGCGCAAACGCATTTCGGAGTGTACGGAGTATATCAGTATAATTCGGGTTCTAATATTTATCTAAGCCAGCTGATTGGTTTTTTTCAGCTGGCCGGGGTACAACGCTAAAGTGGCCGTGGTATCGGTTGTGTGATAATCCGGGTATGCAATGCACGATTTAGGAAGCGGCATGCAGCCCTCGTTGGATATGTTGGTGGTGGCAAAACGTTTCAACTGTATATGAATGAACATTACTCTGGTCACTGGTGCTAAATTCTCGTAGGAAAGTGTACCATTTCACTGTAGGAACAATTTATGATCTGGTGTTGATAAACACCCCCACGATCAACGGGCTATAATGCAAGGCAATTAAGCTTTGCTGTGCCGTTTAGTTGCATCAAGCCAGTCCAAGTCCTTACACGCCGTCTATTTGGCGACAAATAAGCATCTGGCGCTTGTCAGGGGGCGTCCCCATGCCACATGAAAGCAGCCCCTCATTTGTTCTTTAGGCTTCCAAAAAGAGCCTTGGCCGGTTGAAGCCCCATCTGTGCCTCTTCTCATTTCAAGCAAGGCGTTTTTGACAGGTCCGATTTTTAAGCCCGAATATAGCCACTGTGTGTTGAGCTCGCGCTGATCAATCGCACACTCTCCACGATCATACGTAGGGCCTCCCATGTCAGCTTTCTAGCGATTGCTAGAGTACCGGGTACAATGCACTATATAAAGCTCATAATTCCAAGCCGTTAGAACTAGAATGGGTGCGGAAAAGATCGTTTAAAAACGGTGGCAGCCACTGACGAAACAGCAACCATGGTGTTGGATCTTGTGATAGTTGCTATTTTCGACAGTATTTGCTGCCTGCAACCCATCTTTATAGAAGACGACAATATAGACCGGCTAGTTCGCATCATGCAGGCCATCGATATGGCAGCATTTGTTCGTCTAAAATTGCAATATTGAGCCATTTATTTATTGAGTACAATGCATCCACAAAGTGCAGAATTCGTATTACCGGCAAACTCCGCACATCTTTTGCCGCGCGCTAGGATTACGCAATTCGTTTATCGATGTCGTTGCAACAGTTGCAAGAAGCAAATATGCACATGAGCGAACGACGGGTACTATCTTCGTAACCCCTCGTCAGCGGATAGGAGAAGGCTGGCCAATCAAATAACAAAGTTGATAGATGGACTTTACGTAAAACTGAGAAGAGAGGGTGTAGGGCAGAAAGGTACGCAGATCTCATGCGCATAGATATACTAAATCCGTTGAGTAAAACCGATGATGACAGTAGAACTGTGGAGATATGGAGAGGATCCCTGATAAAGTTGGATTTGAGAACAAAAGTGGTCGGAATTCAGTTGAATTCAGCCTCATGTGACCTCACTCGTCATGTGTTAAATCCTATGCCAAGAACCAATATTTTATTGATTTTCTGGATCATAAGCTCCTTTCATCTTTAGCAAAACTAATTTTCTGTATTTTAAACCTACCTATTTACATAAAATAGTCGTAAGTTGGGCAATCGTCTTGGACCTGCTAGATGTTGTTAAACCGAGTGGCCACCCATGACTAATTCACCGTCGATATTGTGTGCTGTTTTATGCTTTCCCCTCTTTCTGACTTCTCAGGATCCTATCTACTCAAATTTTGGCTTCGCATTGACGTATTTTTCTAGTGCTGGTTCTTCATGAAAGGCTCTTAGTGGACAAGGTAATTGGAATACGCGGCTTCCCTATATGGACGACGAGAAGTTTGTTTCCTTGCTTTGTTATTTTCTCAAAATTAGCCTGATAATCTGCAAGAGCTAAAGTTAGAAAGAGTCAGAGTAAAGCACAAACGGTAATACAACCTACTCGACTAAAACAATGTACCTACAACCTCTCACTCGACAACAGAATCCTCATATCGTTAAAACAACTAATCTAGCTTCATCGCCATCTATTTAAACCCAGGATCCTCCCTCGCTACCTGCATGAGATAGAACCATGGAACAACATCTCCATATCCGCCGGAAAGCCAGCACGCAGTAACCAAGATTTTCCGGCGGTTAGAGCTAGCACGGAATATTTTTCCGATGGAAATACCTCCCCATGCATATGGAAACCCACAACCAATCTCTTAGCGGGGTATGCGGGGATACCTCTTTGAATGGTGCGTCAAGTTAATACTTAACAATACAGCCTCAACGCCATCAATATCAACATCGTCATCCCCACCTCTGGACATCAACCCTCACAAAATGGCTCTAAACCGCACCTTCAAACTCAACACTGGCGCCACGATCCCCGCCGTCGGCTTCGGGACCTGGCAAGCCCCTCCAGCGGAAGTCCAGATTGCTGTCACCACCGCGCTCGCCACAGGCTACCGCCACCTGGACTGTGCCGCCATCTACCGCAATGAAGCCGGCGTCGGCGCAGCAATTGCGGCCTCCGGCGTTCCCCGCAGCGACATCTTCATCACCAGCAAGCTCTGGAACACACGACACCGTCCGGAACAGCAGCTCGCGGCCCTCGACAAGACCCTTGCAGACCTACGCACCGACTACCTCGATCTCTACCTAATGCACTGGCCGATCGCGTTCCGCGCAGGCGACGACCCGTTCCCACTCACCGCCGAGGGGACCTTCGATCTCGACCGCAGTATCGACTACGTCACGGCCTGGCGCGGCATGGAGCAGCTACTCAACACAGGCAAAGTCCGTGCGATCGGCGTGGCGAACTTCAACATCCGGCGTCTCGAGCACCTTCTGAGCTCCGACATCGCCGTGATCCCGGCAGCGAACCAGATCGAAGCGCACCCATACCTGCAGCAACCCGCGCTTGTGGAGCTGTGCCGCCGGAACGGGATTTTGGTGCAGGCGTACTCGCCGCTGGGGAACAACCAGACCGGCGAGCCGAAGGTGGTGGATGACCCGCGGGTGCAGGAGCTCGCGCGCGGGCTGGGGAAGGATGCGGGGGCGTTGCTGTATAGCTGGGGCGTGCAGCGCGGCACGGTGGTGCTGCCGAAGAGCGTGACTGAGAGTCGGATTAAAAGCAATTTCCAAGGTGCGTAAAGGGAGGGGGCAACGGAGAGGGACGGGGGAGAGAGACACAGCTAACACGTGCATACGACAGACTTCATCATCCCCGACGAAGTATTCGCAGAACTGAATGCGATGGAGCGACACAAGCGCTACAACTTTCAGAGCCACTGGGGACACGACATCTTCGACGAGGAGGGGGACGAGACGGTGCGGCGGAAGGCGCTGGAGTGGGCGGAGGCGAACAAGAAGGCCAAGAAGTAGGGCGGTGTAGACTATGAACGTAATTCGAAGCAGGATTTCGATGGGTGAAATAAACACTCGCAGCTCGCGAAGTGTTTGCAGTTTGAAAAGTGAGTGATACTACGTGCTGCCTGAGCATGTACCATCTCTTCCACGTGTATTTC